GACCCAGCCGCGGGCCATGGCGTACCGGGAGCTGGTGAGGCGCTGGCACCAGGGCGTGCTGGCGGCCGACGGCGGGGACTGGGACGGCGCCCTGGCCATCTTCGGCGGCATCCCGGAGCCGCCGGCCAGGATCTGCTTCAATATGGGCTGCGCGCAGCTGCTGGCCGGGAGGCCGGGGGAGGCCCTGCGGGTGAGCGGGACTCCACCGGGCTGGGAGAGCCCCGCAGAGGGACGGGGGGGCGCTGCAACGGGCAGCGCAACCTGCCCGTCTTTGGAGGGAATAATGCTGGAAGTCAAACTAATGAAAATCCGGTGTTTCTTATCCTGCGCGTGCAGCTGATCGCAGGAACGCGAGTGGTGCTGGGCACGGGAGCCCTGCAGCCACCTGCGACCCCCGAGGCTGACAAAAAGAAACCGCTGTGCTGAAAAGCTGATGCCCTTCGGGAAGGGAGAGCAGCTGCCAGCGCTGGGGCAGGCGGGCAAGAGCCCAGAAGAAAAGCCTTTTAATTACAGCATCTAAGGTGTCAGAGTCTGGAGCACAGGTCTGCTGGGGAGCGGCTGAGGGAACTGGGGGGGTTCAGTCTGGAGAAGAGGAGGCTGAGGGGAGACCTCCTGGCCCACTGCAACTCCCTGCCAGGAGGGGGCAGAGAGGGGGGATGAGTCTCTGGAGCCAAGGAGCCAGCGCCAGGCCCCGAGGGAATGGCCTCAAGCTGCCCAGGGCAGGGTCAGGCTGGCTCTGAGGAAGGATTTCTGTGCAGAAGGGGCTGTTGGGCGTTGGAATGGGCTGCCCAGGGCAGGGGGGAGTCCCCATCCCTGGGGGCGTTGAAGAGTCGGGCTGACCCAGCGCTGAGGGATCTGGGGGAGTTGGTGACTGTTCATGTTGGGTTGATGGTTGGACTGGAGGATCTTCAAGGTCTTGCTTCCAACTGAGATGATTCTGGGATTCTGTGTCTGCATCTCTGGCTGGCTGCCCGGTGTGGAGCTGCACATAAGCCATTGCTTAAGTAGCACAAAGAAGAGCTCAGACTGTGCTGAAGGGACTAGGGCAGAGCCATGGAGCCCCAGGCAGGCTAGTTGCTATAAGGTACAACAGCAAACAGGGCACGATGGTGCCCAAGAGAGATTTTTTTAGCCCTGATGAATGGGCGCTGACTGGGAAGAAGCTTCGCTGTGCTTCCATGTAGGTCAACAGTTGGTTGTTTATTTTTTCTCTTTTATAGCACAGTAAAGCAGATTGTTAAAGCAAGGTGTGCTCTCAGAGTCACAGGAGAAGCCAGCCACCATCACAAGAGGCACAGTCACTCCCAGACCTCCTGCAACATATTTTCACCCCTGCAATGCTATCCTTGTCTAGGTAGTATCAGGAAAGTCTGAAGTTTCAGGCTTGATTTGTTATCTACATACCATCTCTTTGCAATGAAAAAGGGAAGGAGCACACCTAGCTTTCTCAGAAAGACATTAAGACAGTTTTCCCAGCACAGTATTACTTTGAACTATTAGCCATGAGCTGCTACTAGCTTTGCTAATACTTGCCTGTATTTAGCTATGAAACTAGACCAGAAATACTGACTTAGAGGTGCACTGTGTGAAACCCTTCAGCTTTCTCCCTTGCATCCTTTAACGTACTTGTCACTGTAGGCTGCTTCAAACTGCCTTCCCCAGCCTGGCTAGTCCTGCTGCTCCCACTGTCAGGGCAAACTCTGCTCCAGGCAACACAGCTTTCTCACTACAAGATGCCAGTCAGCCAACATAGCTCATTTATGTGCAGTCCATTTTACCAAGGAAGGAAAAAAATCTGAAGTTCAGCTCATACAGAGCCAAGACCTGAAAGATGGCTTGGAGCTGCCTCGTGCCCCTCAGCCCAGATCACAGCCCTGAGCTCATCAGTCTGGAGGAGCTGCTCACGAGGAGCCCAGGGACAGCTTCTGCACCCAGTGCAGCTTGGATGTGCCTGTATGGGTGCATACACCCAGGCATTGACAGGAGAGATCCTATCTGATCCTCGGGATGTGTCCGTTTTCCTCCTTAGGCATTCAGTGAAACCATTGCGAAGGACAACTCCCTAGCTGTCGGCTTCTTTCAGAGAGGGCTTGTCCATCTGCAGCTGGAGATGTAAGTGAGACATGTGTCCATTTCAGTCTTTGGTTTTCTCCTTTTAGTCATACTTTATCCCTAAACCTAAATGATTCTAAAATCCACTTCTTCCAGCAATCTTAATCAGTTCATGAGGTCCAGTTTGGCCATGTCAGAGGTCAGCAAGGCTTATCTTTTAAAGCAATGGCTTTAAACTCCAACAGGGGAGCTTTAGACTGGACATAAGGAAAAAAAATGTTCACAGAAAAGAGTGGTCAGGCAGGGGAATAGTCTGCCCAGGGAGGTGGTGGAGGCACCATCCCTGGATGTCTTTAAGGGTTGTTTAGATGAGATGTTGGGGGATGTGGTGTAGGGGAGAACTTTGTAAAATAGGGCTGATGATTGGACTCGATGATCCCAAGGGTCTCTTCCAACCTGAATGATTGGTTGGAGGATGATTCTATTATCTCCAGTAAGGCTGAGAAGATATGAGCTACACAATCAGGGCACCAATACTAATACATGACATTACTGTCCTGTACACACAGACAAAGAAGCAGCTTCTGTATACAGGGCTGCCGGGAGGTTACATTGCCATTCATATTTTCTTCAGGAATGAAAAAATATACAATTGCACTGCTTGGTGTATCTTCACATGGTATATGCAAGTCTGGCCTTCCTAAAAATGCAGTCTGCCCACAGTGTCTGACTCTCACTCTCTGCTGACAGCGGATTTTGTAGGCCTGATCTCAGTCTTATTGTTTTAGCATTGGGATTTCTCCACCAGTGTCATGGGATTGATTATTCATTGTTTCCATGGTTAAATCATAATGACATCCTGCCCAGAGAGGTGGGTAGAGGACTTTACAGATCCCTTCTTACCTTTGAAGTTTGGTAATTCTCTTTCCCGTTATTTTCTCCATATTTTCCAGACCTTAATTTCCACAAAATTACTATTTCTTGGAGGTAAAGTGAGCAGTTCTGCACTCCCAAGCCAGCCTGTCAGGCAGCTGCACACTCTGTGCCTCTGCCAGCAGAGATGCAGTCAGGGGTGGTGGAGCCTCGGCCGGCACGTTGGAGCTGTTCCACTCTGCTCCGGCGCTGAGCTGCAGCCAAAGGGAAGCAATCCTGCCCTGAGCACACACGCTGTGCAGCAGGTCAGGGGCAGCACAGCTGGCAGATGTGCCTCCTGCCCAAGGAGGTGATAGCCACCAGCACCCCATGGCACCTTCCATCACCAGATGCTGTTCCCACCACCCACATCTCCCTGGGCACCTTCTCTTGGCCATGCTCACTTGCTTTTGGTTGTGTCACTGCTGCACAGCCCGTCCTAAACCTTTCTTCACCACCTGCAGCCTCAGTGGAACCCATTTTGATTTCAGTTGCATAGCTGGTGTAAATACAGACTCATTCCCTCCTTATCCTGGGAGTTTCTCTAAATTTCTGCACGCATTGCTCTGGCCATGCATGTATACTTGCTGCTCACCATCAGCAGGGGGGTCCCAGCCCTTACTTCTCCACCAAGGCATCTGCTGGGACAAAGCAGCCATCTGGGCAAGGAGCTCACAGCATTTGTTAATCTCTGCTCTTTACATTTTCTCTTCCTTGGAATTGTGACTATTTCAGGTATCAAAACCTACAGTTCATCCCAACCAGTAAAACTGTGCAGATGATCCCAGACACACCATGTTCCTTTTGTACTAACTACTAATAAGGAGAGTACAGGGATTTTTCTGTGCTCACAAGATGGCACATGTCTCTGATGCAGCTCCTCATCCAGGCTACAGAGAAGAATACATGCGTTTTGCTAGCTTGATTTTTGAACTTCTAATTAGAGTCTTCAGCTTCTTTTACTCTCATTTTTTTCTGTCATCTCTGCATTGTAGGTATGAAGAAGCTCTCTCCGACTATCATATGGCCTTCAGTCATCTAAGAAAAAATCCCTTCATCGATTACAAGCAGCTGGGGCTCAGGCACATACTCTATGCATGGGAGGTAAGAGTCAACCTGTCTCAGTAGTCCTTCCCCTCTGTTGGGTGTATTCATTGTGTCTTCAGCAGTGTGCATTTGCAAGACAGTACATTAGAACAGTAGAAAATTTCTGCTCACACTTTTTTTTTTAAAAGGAAATTAAAGTTATAAAACAATGTCATGTATGAGGAGTTTAGAAGTACTCAGTTTAAAAAGTAAAATTTTTGTATTTTGGTGCTTTTTTAGCTTATCAATGCATGTAATATTTACACTTACATGCTTGTAAATATGCATGTAAGTTTTGTGAACTCCTCAGCTCTGAAAGCTGAAATAGGTTGAAGTATAGACAGATAGAAACTAAATTGGTCCATGATGAAGACTCTAAGAAACCTACATGCATCAAAGACTGTCTTTGTGTCTGAACTTACACACTGGGCTGCAAGTTGTGTTTTGCTTCTGTAATGCTTCACTCTGCAGCACTTACACTGTCAACCTGCCACATCCTGTTCAAAAAAGATCCAAGTCTGATTGGATTGTGAATATTTGTAATATTTGGACTGTAAAAGACTTTTAGAAACTGTACCTTACTGCAAGTGTTCATTTTGTCTTCAGTCCTGAGTCCGCACACACAGGCTGAAAAGCAAATAGAGGAAAGAGTATTTAGTTCTTTACTTCCGCGAGAATGAGGAGTCATTGTGCAACTCAAGTCAAGCATACCTAGAAACCTGTCATTCAGTCTCAGTCAATTTTCATGCACCTTACACCTGGCAGGAAGAAGCCATCCGTGGCATCTCTGGTATTACCCAAACACCATAGTTTTTAACAGTTTCAGGGCCACAGCACTGCCTTCTCTGAGCTCACACACACTTAGAAACAGTAGGTTCACTTTAAAAGGTGCAGGACTGCAGGAGTGCCCCGAGGCCATCCGGAGGGGGTTGGTACCCTTTCGGCTGTGAACACACATCTACTTGCAGCTCATTTTTAAAAATACAGAAGCACTGTCCTCCAGAACTCTGCCATCAGCTTTCCACATGCATAGCCTCTCATGTGCTGTATCTGATCTTCTCGAGGGAGGTATGCTGTAGGGTTTGAAAATCGAGAAATACTTGCCTCTTGCAAGGCTATAGCACTTCTGAGCTGAGCAGGATTTGCTGCCTTGCGTCTCCAAGAGCAAGCATCACTGCTCTTCCTGTAGATGTTCAAGATGCCACTCTCCACCACCCCCAAAACACCAGCCTTCTGTCACGATTAAGGAGCAAAGGAAAAGCATCCCATTAGTTGCACTTCTGTCCCCATCACTCTATATAGCAATTTACAACCTGATAACATTATCATATAAGATAGCAAGCTATCTGACTGCGAGTCTGTTAAGCCACACTTCTGCCTTGTAGGCCAGTAGCTTTTCCATACACTGACTGTTGGCCAGCAACAAGAGATCTCCCACTCCTAATTCAGCATATAGATCAAGGCTTCCCAACACTCAGCCTGTAATACTCCCACACTTTGCCACTTCATCACTGAACATACTTACATGCTGCTAAAGGGTAACAAGCTACAGCTGACAATTTGCACATTCACAGCCCACTACAATAGTTCCAGTTCAATTATTCTGTAGGGAAAAGGAGTCAAAATTATTCTGCACAGCAGAAAATTTTACCTAGTTGCACATAGAAGAAAACCCTTCCTGGCCTTTCAGATGCAGGAAGGATAAGATTAGAAGTTGTGTGGTACTAGAGCCTTCATCTGGTGTTCACCATGCCTCTCCTTGCCTTCAACAGAGCTGGCAGCTCCAGCACACCCAGGAGCTAGCCTGGAGGTACAGATTTTATGTCTTTCCACGCTGATTGCAAAGTTTTTTCAGCTGTGCTGCTCAGAGTGCCTTTCCTGTAGCTAGTGGGGAGTAGGTTGGTACTGTTGGTGTATCTGTAGTGTTTCAGTACCTGGTACATGTTTCTTTCTGAGTTCAGTAAATCATGTTGGGTGTCTGCTTGACTTCAGCCCTCTGAGTTCTGCTCGCTCTCTGCCCACTCCAGGTGCTGTACAGCACTGCAGCAGCACAGTGCCGGCTGCAGCAGTGGCAGGAGGCCAGGGTCACCCTAGATAAGGCTGTTGTATGGAGGCCTGAAGGAAGAACAGCAATCCTGGACCTGGCCCTTGAGCGGGTGCAGGTAAGACCACCTCTATGTATTCCTCGGCATGTGCATTGGCCTTAAGTTAAGAAATACAAGATAAGAATGTGCTAATTGTTGCATGTTTGGGTTTTCATGTCTACCCACCTGCTTGGTCACCTGGTAACAGAGTCTAAGCAATTTTTATGTGATGCTCTACCAAACTAGTGTTTCAGCTAATCAGATAACTCCATCACCCCCAGGAGCTTCATCGCACAGAAACCCACACTGGAGAATTACAGGATAACCTCTCAGTTTGGGGAGGTTGTTTTCTAGTCCCTGCTGTTCAGGAGCATAGTTCTATTTGTACTTGTACTGCAAAGCAAGTTGCCCTTTGCAGTGGTTAACTGCAGAATCCCTACAAGTATGGATTTGGAGGTTCTCCCTTTTCAGGACACTGGCTGACTTCTTTGAGTCCCTTTGGCCTCAGTAGCAATTGGTGGCAGCTCAGATATTACTGACAATCACATTTAGAGCTTAAGTGGAGTGTAAAACTGTTTCCAGGGTTGGTTCTAAGTAATAGTTTCCTGTTATGCTCTCTTATGATCAGGAACAACTTGCAGATCTCTGATTTACTCTTCCTGGAGGGTTCACTATTTTATTACCTCCGTACTTCCTTGTCTTTTTTGTATCCTTTCTAAGATATGACTGCTTTTTTTTAATCTGATCATCTCTTCTAGGATTGTGTTTGTGTTTTACATTAGAGTATTATTTATATTTGGTATTAGCATGCTACTCAGTGATTGAACAGAGGAGCAAAGAAAATTTGAAGTCAAATAGAAAAACTGCTTAGAAGATTTGTTTAATAGACCTCACTCCACTGCCCTCCCTCCCCAGCCATCCAATGCCTGTGGAGTTAGTCTTTGACTCAACACTGGGTAGTGGCTGCTGAGCTCTTAGTTTGCATGTGCTTGTTAAACCTGGGTGACCTTTTTCAAGTTCACAGCCATAATTTTTGCCCCAGTGTCTTCCTGGAGCTGATCTTGCACACATAGGGAAGCTATATTTGTTTTTCACTGCTGTTATGTTTCATTTAATTGATGGCTTTTCCCTTATCTGCTTTCCCTGCCCTAGGACCATTTGTTTTTAGAGCCCATGCAGGTTCCCCTTGGGGAATTTTTCAGACCACGGAAGAAGGAAGTTGAACAGCTGGATTCAAAAGATTTCCTGGGTAAACCCAAGGTAACAGGCATGTAACTGTTAAGAATAACAGCAAGGAGATTAAAATCCCACCTTCTGACATCTCCAGAGAGCATTACTGTTGGCCACTCCACTGATCACTGCACTGATGGAGACCTGAGAGCAGGATTGTCAGGGCTTGTAGCTACTCAAGGAATCTGGGACACGGAAGCCAAAATTTCTTAGCATTGCCACTATCAACAGTGCACGTTGGTGCTAAAAAACCTTCCCAATCTTGGTCACTTTAAACTTTGAAAAAGCCGAGCAGGTACTTAGGGAAGCCTATGGTTGTCCTTTTGCTGACAGTGACATTTTCAAGAGAAGTACATTCTTCCAGTGTGCTCCTACTCACTACTGCATTCCCAGTGGGACAGGCAGACACCTGGGAGACAAATGCTTTGTCACATCCCTTAATGCAAGTCAGCAGAGAATTCCTCTGATCCCTTCTGTAACCAGTGCAGTCATCAGAAGTGCCACAGGCCAGAGAGCTCCAACATGAATAAAGAAAAGGGAAAGTAATTAATTCACATACTTTTAAAGAAACCTTGGAAAGACTGAAAAAACAGGGACATGAACAGTTAAAGCCATTTTGGGAATTCAGCTCTTGCTTCTTCCACTATGTGCATGGTTCCACTTTATGTCTGACCTTAGGGCGTCAGAAGAAAATGGGTCTGAATAGATAAGTTTGCATGAAGTTTAAAGAGTCTCTTCATCCAGCCTGGATTCAGTCATTACTTTGTCCTCTGACAGGTGATCTCCTCCATCATTCCCAATGATGAGTACATTGGCTTCGAGCCTCTCAGGCCTCAGGTGAGCAAGACATAGCTGTAAAGGAGGAATGGAGCTGTCCTCGAGCTCCAGGTAGGGCCTCAGATCCTAACACCATCAGGGTAAGAACATACTGTTGGAAAAAACAGTGCAATATCACACTAGATCCATGGGGCCATTCAAAGCCAGGTGGTGGGCTTCAGCATTGTGATGTGAATCTCCAGCCCTCTGAAGATGCATTTTTGTCTCTTCACTATTTCAAACAGCAGTGGACACTTTGCTGTGCTCAACACACATTTTCCCAGCACTTTAGTAAATTTGTCAGCGTAATCATGACTACCTTGCACTGTAATATGGATTTCTTAGAACCAAGGATAGGGAGAAAGATTTTGTTACTCACCCCCTGATGGGATAAAGACAGATTGGGGGAGAAATAGAAGGTACATCCTGGTAAGGTGTAGAGTATCAAAATTCTATCTGGGTGTGACAAATGTGGTTAAAGACAAAATACCACAGTGTGGTGTTCAGAGGGACAGTAAATATGGTGGCACTGTTGCTGTATAAAGTACTGTTTACAGATAGATGCTGTTGTTCCTCCCACAGAAACAGGGCTTTTATGAACCCAGTGCTGACGCTCTGCAGTAAGTATTCAGTTCCACCTTGGTCTAACTCTTCTCTTGCTATTTCTGTTCAGAAAGTCATGTTTTGTTCTCTGATGCATTTGTCTGAAGATTCTGCGGGATTCACACCCACTTGTCACTAAGGGTGGAGTGAATGACAAACATGCAAAGGCTTGTATGGCTGCAAAAGACACTGCAGTTCAGTGGCACCTCTCATGCAAGAATCTCAGGGCAGTTTGCAGGAGTTGATCCAGTAGTCTTGGTAGACAGGCATGGGTCATGCCATGGCTGGAGAATGGAAGCAGAGAGAGGCTGTGTGACCTGCCCAGGTCTAGTTCCCAGGACAAGGTTTCCAAATACTCACTTCCAATCCTGTTGTCCTAAGCCAAAATCAGCCTTGGTTAAAAAAACATTAAAGTACTTTGTTTTGGTGATATCGTGCCAGCAGTACTTCAGGGCTGAGTTTAATAATTGTTTTGATCTGGAGAATGTCTGTCATTACAATGAAAATGAGGCAGTTGCATTTGGGAAATCAGTGTTTTCCAAAGTCCTTTTGTTCCCAGTTGGACCAAAGAGTAGCCATGGAATTCATAACTTCCCAACACCTGAAACTCCTGGCACGTGCCCATTTGGATCAGTGCAGTGCTCTGGATCAAAGCCATCCAGCATCAGAACTGCAGGGTTGGTAAAGATGCTTTCATTCTTTCTTTCCAGAGACAGTGAGTCAGGCTACTACCGAGTTTTGTCCCGCTATTACCCTGAGGACTCGGAGTCAGCAGTGAAAGCCAGCAGTTTGGTCTTTGTGCTGGCGAGAGGAGCAGATGGCTGGGCTACAGCCATACATGATGGACTGGTAAGGAATGTGGGGGGCTTCCCAGCCCACCCCCACCACAGAGACCACAGCCCTGCCTGAGAACAGGAGTTTGCTGCAATCCTATGAGCACATTCCCTGGTGACCCCCCTGTAGCACTGCAGAGCAGATGAGTTCAGGAGCTCATTTCCACAGACCAGTTGCTAACCATAGATTTCTCTGACACCTGGTTCCCACCAGCTTCTTCCATTCACCTCTGTAACTCTACAAAGGCATCTTTTGGGGCGCTTGTGCTCTCCACCATACGGATCCTGTTATGGAATCGTGTAGGATAACAGACCTCACGAAGGCCTACCATTTAGAGCAGCAGTATCTGTCACCTGAGAGCTCTAACCCAGGCAAAGAGACAGATTGGTCCTTACCTGGTGGTAGTGCCTCTATTAAATTAAGTTTGGGAAGGTTTTGGGAGGGTTTCAGCTGTGCCAGCAGTTTTTATAAAGGGCTCTAGAGAAGGCCTAAGGAATTAAAGCCCAGCAAATCAGACATCTTTCTGCAGAATAGGGAACTATAGTGTAAATGGATTGAATAGAAACACATAAATATGACAACATAGAAAGTCTTTTGTTGACAGAAGCCATTTCTCACATATCTGTGTAAATCCTTTGAAAGAGCCAATGCATACGTGGGTTAGGTTGAGCCAGTGAATGTATTATCTGCCTGTATTTAAAAAAAAAAGTAAACTGATTCTTCACAATACCACTAAAAAAACAATGAGCTGTTTGAGCAAGAGAGGTAGTGTGATGTGAGGACTGATAACAGGTTAAAATATAGAAGCAAAGGGTGGGAATAAATGAACAGGTTTAGTGGTGTTTTGTTTTTTTTTTTTTATTAAAGTATGTCCCTACTGAGAATATGCTGTGACCTAAGCATATTCCTAAGTGATACAGTAATAGGGAAAGTTATATAGTGCTTCTTACGGTGACCATGTTCCGTGACAAACAATGAAACCATTCAGCATAGCCTGAAGCACCTGGAGCTAGCAGGGAACAGTTAGAGAAGTATTTGAATGTGCTGGTTGACTGCTCAGTGAAGTGTCAGATGAATTTCAAAGTCAAAAAAAGTAATATAGTCGACACTGGATTCAAAAATAAAAAAAGCATAATTACTCACAATGATCAGTTGAAATTAATAGCTTTATAGCAATGATTGCCAGAGGACACAGAAGTGCTGCTGGACTGGTATCCCTTGACATCTTTGTTGTTCTCTTCCTAAGCATCTGTTTCAGGAGCAGGCTGTTGGGCTTGGTGGGTGTTTGGTCTGTTCCATTGCAGCCACTCAATTAGCAGCACTGCTTTCAGCAGAAAAAGATGCAAAAGGACCACTGGATTTTGTTCAGCAATTTCTGAGCCACAAGCTACATGGGCTACTGTATGCGACTCTGGGCCTCCCCTGGGTACATTCGTGTTGCAGTAGGGCGAGCAGGCAGTGGTGGTTTGCAAGGGCAGAAGCAGTGTTGAGTGGGGCTGACAGAAGATGGGTCTGGGTAGTCCGGGGCTGCATCTGCCACAGCAGCAGCTCCTGTCTCACGCTGCTCTGCTTTGTGTCCTGCAGAAGCTACGCATACCAAGCTCTCTCCTGGAGCCTGCCTCAAAGATGGATAAATGGGTGAGCTGCCAACCTTGCAATCAGCGCTGAGGAAGGGACCAAGAGATACCTTGGGACATTTATTTGTAAGACTATTACAAGATAGGGCAGCTGTGTAAGAGAAACCTAGAGTGTGAAACACTGAGACACCTTGACTGAAGACCAAGTGGTCTTGAACAGGAACAACAGAAGAGTTAAGAGTGGGAAAAATCCTTATTTTTTTTGTATACATTGGATCTCTTTACAGCAAAACCTGGGGGCTTGGACATACAGCCAAGCCACGGTGGGTTGCATCACAAGCTGATCTGGGTGTTGTTATCTCTTAGTTGCCATGGGCTGATGGAGCACACAAAGATGAGCAGCTGCCACAGCTCTCCTGACCCACTGTAACTTGTTGAGGCACTGGAACACAATGATGAGTTTGAGGGCTTGACATGTTCATCCAGCCTGCTCCCGTGATGGCTGCACCCACTCACGGTAGCACAGAAGCAGATGAAGAGTGCTCATGCCCTCTAGTTCACCAGCAGAGTTAATTTCTAGTTCACTGCAGGTTAATCTCCTGCAGTGGGACAGTAATATCCTAAATAGGCACCATTTTTGGCTTGAGGCCATGTGCCTAAGCTGAAAACCCTTCCTCTCCTTTTTCCACCACAGGCATATCCACACATGATTCCAGTCATTTTCCATCTGCACTCAATGCAGAAAAGTGCAACTCAGCCCCCTATTTCCTGTGAGAGATTTTTGAAGCACATGATTATTCCAATGCTATGATTTTTTTAAATTTTTCTTTAAAATGGAGTCCCTGGCCATAACATACACTTGGGCGTTTGCCCCATGGATGTCTCTCTGTGAATCAGCTCAAGTTCCCAAATGATCTAGCAGGTAGCGGGAAGAGCACCCCAGGAAGGGGCAGGAGGCCAAGGAAGTGTCCCACCAAACTGCATCACCCTTGCTAACCCCAAGAGCTGCAGAGACTGTTAAGAGCCGAAGTGCCCCACGTCATCCAGCCATTTAATGAACTGGTCTCCCTGGTGCTCTCTCTGAAGTTACACCCAGAAATTTATAACTGTCTGCACCCTCTGTTGTGCACACACAGTCTCCTGTGTCTTCTGCTTACTCCTTTCTGATGTTGTTCTGTTGCAGAAGATCAGCAATGGGATTCCCCTCCCTCCTGCCCAGGTGCCTCCCAGCCGACTCCATGTGAAGCAGAAGCCAGGTAGTCCCCGGGTCAGGGACGTCCGTGGGTGTTACATGAAGCTGTGCCCAAACTCCCCACTTTCGGGGTGCATGGGGAGGCTGCTTGCCCACTGCAGCCACGGCTGCCTGTATGCTAGCAGGTTGCAGAAGAGCTGCTGGAGGCCTCTGCTGACTACAGGCACTGTTATTCTGCTCTTGTTTTGTTCTGCAGACTCTCCTGGGGGAGAAAATGCCTCTGCAAATGATACCAGTGTCCAAACAGACTTCAAGGTAAGGTGTTTCACAAGCCAAAGCTGGCACATCCTCAGATGATCAAGGCTATGAAAGTACAAGATTCCTGGCAAAATCCTCCAAAATTCCTAAGCTGTCCCAAAAAAACTTTGCCCATTTTCCCATTCCAAAGAAAAGTTCCCATGTGGTCTTTCCACTACCACTCCCCAGTTTGTGACAGTACAATTCTGAGGCAGCCCAAGGTTGAGGCTTACCAGGGTGGTGGCCTTTTTCCACCCTCTGAGGAACCAAGAGCCCCAGGCACAGTAATGTTCTCTGGCATGCACTTTACAGCCCATTTTGCAGGAGAGCTGTCTTTGAACTACCTGCTGTCCCTTCCTCACTCCTCCTCTGTGACATTTTCTGTCCCTGTCAGTCCGGGTCATTCATATTCGCATTCTTCTGGGATGATGTCCTCTGATGCACCATTACCAACCACTGTGTGTGATGGAGCTGGAGTTGCTTCTGTGTCACCTGGGGACAGCACCTCTCTGTCAGTTCTGTTCACTGTGCCTTTCCTACCTCTCTTGGTAGGGCTTTTGGAGTCATTTTCTGTCAGATGTACTTCAGACAGAAGGCATCAGAACATGGGAATATGGCTGCACCTCTCCAGCTGGCTGGAGGAGTTGGGGCCCTACTCATATGGGGTTGTGCAATTGGACCCAGAAACAGGCTTCCTGGGTCATGGGAGGAACATTTGATCCCAGACTTTGAATCTGTAGTTCCCCCTCTGAAATTCCGCGTTTTGATGTTGCACCACTATTATGTAGTAGCAGGGAGACAAGGGGCTGTGTCTATGTCACCTCTCTTGATGGGAGAGGTGACACAGTCTGAATAACGAGACTGTCCCCGGTGCCACATCTCTCAGCAGATCCCACTGACCCCTGGAGAAGGTTCATCCGGCACGGACAGGCCCGTTGTGCTGCAGGCGCGTTGCGAGTGCACCGTGGTGCTGAGGGCAGGCGAGCTGCCGTCTCTGCCAGCCCTGCGGGCTCTGCTGAGGCAGCGGTTTGGCCAGCAGGCAGAGCGAGGGAAGCTGAGGTACGCTGTGGCACAGCCGGGCCCTCCGGCACTCTCAGTGCACGCCCCTGCGTGCTCAGCCCTTTCGCTGAGAATACGGGCATCTGGCTGCATCTGGGCTCCTGGGAACATTTACTTGGGGTCAGAGCACTCTAGCAGACACTCAGCAAAGGTGTGAGCACACAGCCTGCCTTGCAGGGCTAACCTCATCATGGGTTTTGGTTTGGAGAACAGCCTGTGCTCCATGGGCTTTGGAGGCCCAAAGGATCTTTCCCAGGAAACTGTACCATGGTCAAGAAACGGGGAAACAGAAGGAAAAACTGTGACAATGCAGCTACTGTATATTGGATTTTCTTCTGCTAAGCTCAGCCTTTGAGATACACTATGATCAATGCAGAGCAATTTGGGAGTCAGGTTTAAGTATGTGTTGGTCTTAGGGTGAGGTCTTCCTGATTGTGACACCCCTGGGGAGAGTTCAGAAACACTCAGAAGAGTTTAGGATCTTCCCCTCAAGTAAGTGGGTAAGGAGGTGACAGCACTGCTCCCCAACAGTGCTGTGTCTGCCCCCTGAGCAGGCAAGGTGGCCCCATGTCATTGTACAAGGTGACAAGCTCAGAGCTGGCTTACAAAGGGGACTTTGAAGACTGAAGAAGGTAGAGGGCTAGGCTTGCCTCTAAATTTGGCTTTAAGTGAGATGATTTGAGCTGCTTTAATGAACCCTTGTAGCTACAGGCATTCGGATGGCAAAGAACTGGGTGCAGTTTCGGGAGAGGAGGATCTAGGGAAGATGTGGCAGCAGCTGACAGATGGCAGGCTGACACTCTGCTGTGAGGTACGTGGGCTGTGACAAGCTTCTGTGCTGTGCTGGACTCAAATCTCTGCTTTGCCTTGCAACCTCCATTCTGAGTTTCTCCTGCAGGACTCAGACTCCCATTTGGGCAGACCTGTCCTCTACCGGATGCTGGCCCAGCACTCGTACCCTGCACAGGGACCTGGGGACCTGGAGTTCAGCAAGGGAGACGTGCTGGATATTCTCTCTGAAGGTAACTCTCCAGTCCTGTCTGCAGACTTGTACTGGGGCAGGCTTTTGGAATCTGCTGCAGGGCGGGCCTGGGGAATAGATGGCCTCTCCAGTGCTGTCTCAGCCTCACTCTCTCAGGAGGTACAGGCTTGCACTGTTAAATTCCAGCCATGAAAACTCTTGCTAACCCCACTCATGTGGGCCAGAGCTCATCCTGCTCCTTTATGTCTTTCCAGTGAATGAGGACTGGCTTGAAGGACGCTGCAATGGCAAGACTGGCATCTTCCCCAAATGCTTTGCAGCCCCAACCAGTTGTGGTGCTGTATTCCTATAGTGAACAGGAGCCTTTTCCTGCCCGAATGCACAGTCCCATCTCATTCAGGCCACAGCCAGCACAGCCAGGAGCTCTGCTGAACCTGGATGGGAGATGTCCCCCACTCACAGATCCTATGGGGTCAGTTCCAGCAGTCCAACAGCATTTTCTACAGCCTGTTCCCAGACCTGGCACTTTAACCCCTGTGCTTATACTGCCAAAAATGTGCTTGTGCAGGGCAGAGAGAAGAGGGAGTGATCTGGTGTTTGGCTGTGGGAAATGTCCATGTGGCAGCTCAGACCACAGGGGCTCAGACTGCTGGGTGGGAAGAAGTTCCTCTCAATGGAGGTCTTCACCCCCTCTCTCTTGTTCAAGTTCAGGCTGGGAAGGCTGAGCCTCACTCTAATGAATCACAGAATGGTTGGGGTTGGAAGGAACCCTAAAGATCACCTAGTTCCAACCCCCTGCCATGGGCAGGGACACCTTCCACTATCCCACGTTACTCAAAGCCCCGTCCAACCTGGCTTTGAACCCTTCCAGGGAGGGGGCAGCCACAGCTTCTCTGGGCAGCCTGTGCCAGGGCCTCACCCCCCTCACAGGTAAGAATTTACTCGTTACATCTCATCTAAATCTACAATCAGTTTAAAACTGTTATCCCTTGTCTTCTCAGTGCACCCCCTGATCAAGAGTCCCTCCCACCTTTCCTGCAGCCCCTTTCAGCCCTGGGAGGCCGCTCTAAGGTCTCCCCAGAGCTTCCTCTTCTCCAGCTGAACCCCCCAACTCTCTCAGCCTGTCCTCACGGGGGGGGGCTCCAGCCCTGAGCATCTCTGTGGCCCTGCTCAAGCAGGTCCGTGTCCTTCTGATGTTGGTGCCCCCAGAGCTGGACCCAGCACTGCAGGGGTGGTCTCATGAGAGCAGAGCAGAAGCCAAGGATTGCCCTCTGTGAGCAGGAGGCAGAGCCCAGTTCTCCAGGTCCTTGGGTCACATATCCTTATCTCCACCAGAGAGAGAGATGCTGCTCTTTCAAAAGGCTTTTGTAACCAATTTGCAGTGGGGTATATGGGATAACACCTTGGGTTAGGACCACCAGGTATCATCTCCCATAGCACATGCCCTGTGGATCTGCTAGAGCCAAAGGACTCTGACCCTTCCTCAGCCCAGATGTCTGTGGTTCTTCTAAGCCCTTAAGTCCTGCCTGGATGTTACTGTTTCATGCTGCATGGGCAGGGGTCTTGCAGCACAGAGGGGAGATAGTTTTGGAAACACCCCTACTCAGACCCCCCTGGGCTTTGGCATGTCCTTGGAGGGGCTGGCTGAGCAGTGTGGCACGGGCCAGTGGCTGGAGCTGGAAGGACTCAAATGAGTGTCCAGTTCCTGCAGCTGAGCTGGGCTGGGCTCTGCTGATCTAACTAAATCACTCAAGTGCCTGGAGCTGGAACCTGCTATGAATTTGGTGTCTGACAAAGCTGGGCTATGTAACTTGAATATAAAATAAACCCTGAGCCAGAGTTGGCAGCTCTTAAATCAACTTCCACTTGTATTTTTTCTGCTGAGCTATGCCAGTAAATAAAGACAGCTGACAGTGTCTTTGAGAAGATATTCTGTCACATACTACAAAAATCTTGCACATCTTGCACAGGGCAAGATATAGATAAGGTCACCCCTCTCCTCAGAGTTTAGTTGGCCACCACTGCTCTCTGTCACCAACTGCCTCCCACGGCTGCTGGGAGAGCAGCCCAGCAGGACTGAAAGTGCCAAGGAAACTGTGCTAGGCTGGTTAGTGACTTTCATATTTGAAAAACAAGACAGATTTTATTTCTAGTTTGAATTTATCTGGCTTCATTTAGCCACCGAGTCTGTCTCAGCTTTTGTCAGCCAGATTAAAGGAGTCTTTTCCTCTTGGAGGTACTTGAAGAGCTCAAGACACCTTTGTCATCTTTGACATCTTTACAGAGATGACCCAGTTAGACCTCCTGAGAAATGGAGATGGGTCTAATGCCCTCATTCTTCTCCCACTTCCACCTTCTTTTGCACCACTTCCCTGCCTGGTTTAGTGGGCAGGATGCCTCTAGTCAGGAGGCTGGAAGCTACTTGGTTTTCCAGAAACACTGGAGGAAAGCTGCCACCAGGCCTGCCACTGTGGCCAGCACAATGAAGGAGACGGCACCTGCCCACATACTGGGCTGGTGCCCCTTGACTTGTTCCAGAGCCTCCGTGGGGATCATGTTGGTGAAGTTCAGCATGAAGCCCAGCGTCCATCCAATGTCTGTGTTTGCTGCCTGAGGTGAGAGAGCAGAGGAGATCATCCAAAAGTGCCTCTTCCAAGGCACTGGTAGCTTCAGTGCAAGGGACTGACAGGCACCTCTCCTGTGAGCTGCCCCAGCTGTGATTTCACACATAGACCTGGCTGTGGTGAACCTGGTCTTACCAGCATCAGTTACACAGCGAGCTTTCCTGTCTGCCTCCCTATGGGCTAAAGGGCAGCTGAACACGGATCACTGCTCTGGTCCAGATATGCCTCTGCGACCTGCATGTGATTTTGGATCTGAGCTTTCCTTCTCCCCCATGGTCCTTCAAATTTGGTCATATTCTGGTTCTAAGGGGTCATGGAACCTCTATCACCTCTCTGATGCTCAAGTCAGTTCTGTCCAACATCAAAGTGGCCAAATTCTGTTCTGCACTTCTCTGACCTGTTAAAATTAACTTACATTCACACCAGAGTAAGTGAGAAGCAAGCTGGTGTCAGAGGTTTGGGGCAGCTAAGAAAGAGTGAAGCTGTGCTGGGGCCACTGGGTAGCAGCCATGAGACAGGGACACACTTCTGATGCAGGGATGCTGCTCCTGAATATGTCTTCAGGCCCGGGCAAGGATGCGGCTGCAGCTGCTTGCCTGCTCCCACTGCTCCCAGGGTGTTTACCTGCTGGCTGAAGTGGATGTTGCTCCACGTGTGCTCATTGAACTTGTAGCCATCAAGCAGCAGCGTCAAGATATAAATCGCCATGGAGCAGTACTTGTGTAGGAGCTTGTCCTTCTGTGGGAAGGTCTCTACCAGCTGTGGGGCCATTGGGGACATAGTGCAAGGGGGAATGAAACATGCTCAGAAACACTCCCTAGCCCAGGAAACAGCAGTACATGTGCTTCCTGAGCAGACATTTGGGACAGGACAAGCACAGAGCTCCTTGCTGCCCTTCACAGGGCTCTCACCTCTGCCCAGCTCTTGTTGCAGAAGGTCTGGATTGTGGAGTTGACATCACTGAAAGACTGCTGGCTGGTCAGGTTCAAGAAGTGGAAGGTGTAGTAGAACCCAGCAAAGGCCTGGAGGATAATGGGAGATGGTAAAAGCCACATCTCCTCCCTCACCCTAAAAAGACCTGGGGGCCCCTCTTGCCTGGGTACAGAGTCCTATGCAATTCCCAGGGTTCTGTATCCAGCACCCACCTGCTTGTCTACCAGAAAGTCTTGGAGCTGGTTGACAAGCCCTGGGGGTGCTGCTTGCACTCCGAGCTAGCTCAGACTGGCTCCCCAGGTCAAGATCTTCCCATTTCCCTCAGGGAGGGCTGGGACATCAAAGGAGGTAGAAACCACTCCCCAACATAGGAGAAGAGGTTTGCAGATAGGACCAGCTCTGGGGTCCCCTCTCTCCCCACCCCTTCCCACAACCAGTGGCAGAGGAGACGCCCACCCTCCATCCCACCCCAGCCACGAGGATGGAGGCTCCTTACGAAGAACTGTCCCCGCACAGGCGGCTGATAAACCCCGTTGAACCCGCACGTCCTGTTGGCCCCACAGGTGAAGTTGAAGAGTTTCCTGATGGCGGTGCTGCACGCTGCTGGGTCCCCTGTCCCTATCACTGTGAGGACCTGTGCAGGGCTGGGTGTGCTCGGTGCACGGACACAGGGACTGTTGTAGAGGGCTGACATGGTGACGTTCTCCTGGTACCCCATGGGGTAGCAGGGGTGTGATATCTCCTGGGAAGATGAGTTGCCCTGGAGAGAGTGGGAGCCATTAATGGGGCATGGTCTGGAATGCCAGTGAGACCCTACCCCAGAGCCCATCCTGTGTTTAGACATTCCAAAAAGCAGGATCTAGACCCTAGAAGGATTTGAGAAGAAGCAGGTTCCATCCTTTACATGACTAACCTGCCCATGGCTTTTGCCAGTCCTGCTGTTGACCCCACAACTGAGCTGTGCTGGGGTGGCAATGCCACTGCCAGCCTGTGCCTCCCCATGGGGGTGGCACCCTGCTCCTTAGGGCAGCCTGTGCTCTCTGCCTGCACAGAGAGCTTGTTGCTCATGGCATTGGCTCTGTCCCACCTGCATCTTGCAGGCTGTAGCCCAGAAAGGACCAAAGATGCATCCCACCTGCACAGTCCCTGAGCATGTCTGTCTCCCGCAGCACTGGACTGTGCGCTCTGCCCGAGGTGAAACAGGAGCACACTGCTTAGTGGTGGAGCGGTGTGCAGGAGGTGTGTTGGGAATCCTCTTTCCAATCAGAAATTGAGGAAGGGCAAGTGAATGGGGAGAGGGAAGAACCTAACAATACAGCTGGGCTTGGGAAATGATGAAAAATGCCATTAGATTTCAACATCTGGGAGAAGGGAGCCCTAGCAGGTAACCACCACTACCTGTCACCCAAATGAGAGAATTTTTTGGTTCAGTAGATAAAATCTAAGCCTCTCCCATGTCTTCAAATTTGTGAAAATTCCTAATTCCCTAACACTTTTTCCACAGGCATGCCCAAAAATTCTGGAAGATGTTTTTCATGGCAATGGCAAATGGCTGAGCAGACCCTGGTGACCAGTGGATGCAGTACCTTGTGGAGATCTGCCAGCAGCATCTTCAAGGCCTGCGTCTGCCCATAGCAGAGGTAGCTGTGGGTGTAGAGCGAGTAGTTGCTGCCGTACAGCCTGAAGAAGGTGGAGGTGCTGTTGTCCTCAGTGGTGACTCCAGGCTGGAAGGTTATTTGTGTTGAGGCACCTCCAAGGTCCAGAGCTCCGAGAACCTCCGTGTCCCGTGGATGTTCCCATTTCTCTGCAAAGGAATACTGGCCCAATAAGACAGCAAGTGTTAGTCTGAACTGGAGGGAGTCACAGTCTCTGACCTTTCCCTCAAGATTTTGTGTGCTTAGAAGACCCTGGGGGACCTTCTACATCCTGTGTCCCTGTTTAACCCCTTTCTGCCTATGTCCTTGACCCACAAAGACCTCTGTGTAGCACTGAAGTCTGGCCCCTTGGTTGCTGCATGTTATCTGGGGTCCAGAGACTTTGAGGAGCAAAAGAACAACTGGGGTCTAAACTTGCTGTCATCTGGGGTCTAAAATTGCTGCCTCCCTGTGATACCAAAATTGACCCATACGTAAGTGGAGAGCACTGCGCCAGGCTGAGCTGCACACAAAGACCATTGATTCTGTTAATAACACCAGTGGAGTTGAATCTGCAGTTCACAACCACAGGCTAAATTTATTTGGGTAATTAGTGCTCTAAAACTACATTTTTTTGTCCTCTGGGAATAAAGAAACCCGGCTGTAGCTCAGACAGGGATATATACTCTGCCCAACCCCCCTCCACCCCCTCCCCAAGCTCGCACCTTGACAAGCGTCTCCAGCAGGTAGTTGATGGTGATCCAGCCGAAGGAGCCCTCCTCGTTCCCTGTGAGGATCTGAGCTCCACGGAAGTCCACAGGGTACTTGCCAATGGCCTTGGAGACCTCGGCGAAGACCTGCTCAGCCTTGGTGCTGTTCTGCTCCCTGCCCAGGGAAGGAGATAAATACCGTGTAGTGGAGGAGGCAATGGCCAGGGGGCTTTCAGAGCAGGGCTAGCAGCAAGGGGCTGCTGTCCTCTGCGGAGGAGCGGTGGTGCTCAGAGACAAGGCACATCCCCTCCATCACTGCCCTGCCTGCAGGACATCTCCTGCAAGCTGCCAAATCCCTCAAGTGGTGCACCAGGAGTCTCCCCAAAAGTGCTGCCCGCGGGCTCTGCCTGAGCATGCGGGAAGGTCAAGGCAAGTCTGGCAAGGAGGCTCATCCACCTCTGGGGCGGGTGCTGGGCTGGTGCTGGGCTGGGCGAGCGGCTCTCCTGGACACCCCGGCAGACTGCAGACGTGGATGCTCTGCCCATCACCATGGCCTGCCTGGGCAGCAGCCCCTGATACCCCCAGCCTCCTGCCCCCAGCCCCCTGTCCCAGCCCCCTGACCCGGATGCAGTGCAGAAACACGCGGTAGGGAAGGGGTTGGGGGTGGTTAGCTCAGGGCAGTGCCAGTACCTCAGCAGCCGCATGCCCGCTGTGGCCCCCAGGTAGGTGGGGGTGTCCCGCTGCTGCTCTGCCGGGATGATCTTCATGGCCTTGTCCAGGCACGGCTTCAGGCTGGCTCCAGCCTCAGCAGGGTTGTCTGCATAGCTAGAGATGCCTTCTCCTGCAAGAGGGCACCCCGTGATGGAGCGAGCTCAGTGCTGCCAGGACACCGGACAGCAGGGGACATATCCACCCATAAAGCCCCCAGGGCTTTTTCCCCATGTACCCAAGCTAGTCGTGCCCTTGCCAAGGGTGTCCCCAGAAGGGCAGTTCTCAGAGCTGTCCTGCCTGGAGGCAGCATGTGTGCCACGGCACACTGTGGGAGCAGGCGGTGAGCTCCTCCTCTGGACAAAGCGGGAGGGCTGCCCTGTGAGTCTTGTGATGCGGATGCTTAATCCCAGGGAAGCCGAACTACTCAAAGGCGACCAGCCAGTCCTGCAGGACTTGGTGGACAAACAGAGCAGTTCCTTATTTGGAAGGAAGGGGAAGGGACAGGCTCTCCTTTATCCTGCAGAGGACACGCAGGAGGGCACACAGAGCCCATACACATATGCAAAGGTGCCCTTTGCACCACTTGAGTTCCTATTTTTAGAGCCTGGCACTGGATCTGAGCACCCAGCATTGTCCTGCGGTGGGTAGGGACAGGCTCTGGGATGGAAATATCGCTATTTACCTTCCCCCAAGATTTGCACACCATTATTGCCATTAGCCCACGCACCCTCTCCCTTATACTTTGCCCTCTTCCAGACCTTTGCAGTTAACCAGTAACTGCCACACCACCATCGCAGAGCATGGATTTGAGGGCAAGGCGAGCTCTGAGCCCTCTCTGCCCAGGCATCTTTGTCCTGGACTGGTGGCCTTTGCCAGCCCCTGCCCAGCTCCATGTACCATTTAGCTGACCCGACCTTACCTCACTAGCCTGGTCCTTTCCTCCAGAAAGACCAGTCCTTGTGCCAAAGCCTGACAGCACCTTTGCATAGGAAAAATTCCCCTTTGCATATTTATAAATGCCCGATAAATAAATGCCCTTTGGGACATTTACTGTTTACCATGCCTGGCATGAAGCAGCCAGCTAGCCTTGGTGCGCACTCACCAGGTGCGGTGCAGGCCTCCACCTGGGACACGATGCCGGTGCCGTTCTCCTTGTCTGCGGGCCACCGGTAGATGTAGAGAGCTGTGTGCGTGGAGCCAGCATCAAACACCAGACCGTACTGGGGGACGGAGAGGGGACAGGGGGTGTCAGGACGTGCAGAGGAGTTTCACCTGCTGCAGAGTGAGGGGAGCTCCAGGAGAGCCAGCAGAGCTCCTGCTGGGCAGAGGAACCTTGAGTGGCCAAATGAAGAGTGTCACCAGAGCAGGGAAAGCCCTGTGGCACTGCAGCACCAGCTGCGTCAGGGACAAGGCCCCATCACAAGCCCTTTGAGCTGTCAGTGCTCTGTGGTGAAAAGGCTGTATGTGCCACAGAGCCAGTGACAGGGACCAAACTCTGCCAGAGTGACCTGGCGTGCCAGCCCACATGGAAATTTTTTCCCATCTCAGCCTGCCTGAAACCTGGGGAAAATCCTACACCAAAGGGCAGCCAGCACCCAAGCAAGAGTGGGCAGCTGCGCTCCTCCCAAGGACCCTACCTTGGTGCTCGGAGGCAGAAACACATCCTTCACATTCACGACGCTCAGAATGAGGGCAATGATGCTGAAGACACAGGTGGCTGCCAGAAGACCTGCAACCGTTTTGGCTTTGTAGTCCATTCCTCCTCCAACCTGCAAGAACAGCCCCAACTCCAGCTCACACCTCTGCATTTGCAAGGCCAGTTCTGAAGTGCAGTCTCATGGATGGCTATGGGATCTGTCAAAATGGGACTTTCCCTTTCCCTAACAAGGGCTTGAAGCCATTCTCTGGTGCATGACTGTTCTTATGGGAGACTCTTGGCAGTCTTGTGGCTCGGACACCCTCTCCTTCTAAGCACTCTCTCCCTGGGTGATTTTCAGCATGGCCTTTTCATCCCTGCCTTCTCAACTGCAGTCCTTCAGGCCCCTCTCTGCATGCAGCCTGGAGTCCATCCTTCTGCCCTACTTAAACTACCAGCTGGGTGGCTGGCCAGCATCTCCCTTCCCAGCATCATCACTGGGGGAAGCACAGCAGTGGCTACCAGGAGTCCCAGACTGGGAGCAGGACCATGCCCTGGCAGATTCCCAGAGCCACATCCCTCTAGCACCCACATGCTGCCATCGTACCCTTCACTCTCACAAAACCTGTCCTACAATTCTTGGGACCATCAGGTCACATCTGTTGCCCAACAGGCCCAGACTGTTCCTGGAGGGTTGTCTTTGCTCCAGGCATGTGTCTCCTGCCTGGTCCAGATCTCTGCAGCTCTTGGTGATGCTACAGCAGGTCAACAGACATGCAGGGACAACGTCTTTGCCTGCAGGTGACCCCCAAGCCTCTCCTGCAGCCCCAAGGGCAGGCAGAAAGCTCCTGGTGACCTGGGCACATGCAGCCCTGTAGCCAAGCTAGCATGCTGGCAGCCATTGCATTGGATGGGCAGGCAAGGCTTGTGGGGTGTGGGGGAGCCCTTGGGGACCAGAACAGGTCCTGCGTCCCCTGCTCATCTGGCTGGAGGTTAGCTCCTGGCAGAATCAGCCATGAGGCATCAGTAAGAAACTGCAGCAAAAAAGCAAAGCCAAAGGGTCTGGTTCTCTGCAACTGCCTCAGCACACAGCATCTGACACATCCATGTGCTCAGCACCCCACAGCTGGTCTGGATGTGCTTTTCTAAATGCGTAGCTCACCCTCTTCCTCCTGCCCTGCCCTGCTCTGTGCCACCAGCCACACAGGCTCCATGCCTGCAGGGAGCCAGGCTGAGCCCTGTCCATGGCGTTAGGCTGCCAGACAGACTCCAGCTGAGCAGTGAATGCCCCAGGAGCCCTGGACACAGCCTAGAGAAGCGGTTCAACCCAATAAATGCATTGGGGTGGCACTTGGGTGCTGTCACTTGGTTACACAATTCTTCTGCGAGTGCATAAAAACACAGAGGAATTCTGTTGCCCTTTTCACCAGGATAGGTCAGTGGCTTGAATAGGAAAGACCTTTGGCAAGGTTGAAGGAGATGATGGTTCCTGTTTGGAGTCAGCATCTCCGATGGCAAACACAGGTGACCAATTTCCTGCATGACATGAGATGTATAATGATGGATAGCAGCTGTTCTCTTCTGGCCCATGTCATGGTACACTATGGTACAGCAAACCCTTATCAGACCTTATCCTACAGGCAGGAACCCTCCCCTGTACAGTGGCTGTGGCCACAAGGGATCACATGGAAGCAGCTGGTGAATGCCTAGATTGTTACATCTCCATTCCTATCAGCCCTGCTAGAGTTTGCCCAGGTATAACTGTGGTTGGAGTGAGATTATCCTGCTCCAGGTAACACAGCAATGGTAAAAGTCCCCAGCCCAGCCCAGCCTACATCTTGGAAAATTCTGTCCCAGGCACTGTGCAATGGAACAATACAAAATGGTGATAAATTGCACCATCCTGCATGCAGGACTGAGGGGGGCGGAATGGGCTCTACCTGTTCTGGTAGGGACTAATTTTTATTTTGACTGATCAGGAAGCAACATCCAAAGGCAACACAGAGCCAGCAAGACCTGAAGAGGAGAGCAGGACATGGGGAGGGGGCCCAGCGGGTGGAAAACAATTCAAGGTGCGTGAGGAGCTGATGGATCTGCCCAGCCCCTCAGGAACACCTCGTGGCTGGCCAGCACTGATACCTGCTGCTGTGGTGGCAGGTTCAGTTGATCAGCAGGGTTGGGAAGGTGGTGGTAATGCCTCCAGAGCTAAAGAAGAGGCATGTGGCAGCATGGTGCCAGAAGGAGCCGTTTCCTAGCCATTTCAATGTGTGGAAAGTTCACAGCTGTGCACAGTGCTTGGGCTGGTTTTGCACTTGTTTGTGTCCAATCGGGCACACTGGAGCGCTCTGCAAACACTGGGGGGACGTCCCTCACCTTGCAGCGTCCTTCTCAGGGAGGGATGGAGGGTGTAAAAGGAACAAGCTTTAGAAAACTCTTTGCTCTTAGGATAGTATTAATAGCAGAAATAATTAATAAATAGATATTGTTTTATAGGTTTAGTTAATAGAGCACAGGTGCTCTAGGAACAATACTGACAGATTAAGCAACTTAGAAAAGCTAGGTAATGAAAAGCTAGACATAGATTAAGTATATGTTAAATAGAACATTTTGAGTCTTTTCTCAGAAGTCTACAAGTGAATTATGAATAAGATTGTTCAGAAGATAAGTAACCATGATGACTGAAGACTGCATCAGTGAGCAGTGGTGTCCGAAGAGGAATTAGAACAGCAGGGTAAGAACTCACTGAAACTGTGGAATACAATGGATTTTTGAAACTGATGATGAATTAAGAGCTGAAAGTTCCTGGAAAATCACCAAAGACTCTGTGTATTTTATGTTATATCATATATGTAGTGGGCGCTTTTTGTCAGCTGTTGCCACTCCCTGAGGTGATGGCTCAACAGAGAGCTGTTAATAAAGAAAACCTAGAGATACCCACAGTCTGGTGAAATCCTTTAACAGAGGGGGCTTCAACATTAGGGAGGAAAGATTCAGAGGCACTGCTGGATCTGTAGTGTCTGTTTCCCAGGAAAATGGGAAGCCGACTCCCTCACTGTGCACATTTGGGATGTGAAAGTCAAAAGGGCTCTTAAAATTATAAGGAGGAGGGTGAACATGCATGCTGGGAGCATCTTTGCCAGACAAAGCACTCCCCTGCCTCCCATCTCTCCCGCCAGTGCTGGGACACAGCAGTGCCCTCCATGCCCCATCTACGTCCCCTCCATGCCCCATTTACATCCCCTCTGTGCCCCTGTGTCCCCTCACGCCCTGGGCCACCCCTGCCCTCTCCCTGCTGCCCCTCCAGCCCATGGAGCGTGTTTATCCCCGGCACCCGGCTGCGCTGCTGGCCAGGGCCCACCCGGGGCTGAGCCCACTCCCTCCCTCCCAGCAGAGCCCCGTGGAGAGGCTCCCGGCCCCGGCCCCTGCCCACGGCTCACCCCGGCTGCTCCCGGCTGCTGGTCCCGGCC